GTAAAAGGGCAGGGGTCCATGTGTATAGAGAGAGGGCACAGATGACGAATACGTTTAGTCCTGTAGTTCTATACTATTTTAATGTAAAAAATGGCAACAAATTTTACCATAGCAAATTCATGACGTAGTCAATTTAATTAGAGAGCTAATAATACTTAATTAGAGAGCTAATAATACTTAATTAGAGAGCTAATAATACTTAATTAGAGAGCTAATAATACTTAATTAGAGAGCTAATAAGAGCGTTTTTGTCTGAATATTGTTTATTGTTTGTTTCTCTGTTACGAATCTATCCTTAGAATCAAGTAAATATATGTGGCTAAATTTGCTCTAAAAGTTGTTTCTATGCGTTTTTTCCCGAGCAACGCCAGGTACCCAGCTAGTATATATATATATATATATACACATATGTATTTTGTGTTCTCACAGGACGGGTCTTTACTACGGCGTCGAACAGAGTGCTGTTCCGTTGTCTCCCACGACGATCGAGCTCATCATAACGCTACTGCTGGCGCTACCTAGTGTCTGTTTCATCATCTACATCATGGTGTTCCTATACAGGTGCGTTGCCATGGGAACGAGGTTCGAAATAACGAAATCTGGTAGCCCGTATGGCTACCAGTCAGAGAAGGTTGATGTCGCACTCTGGGGGAAGGTTGGGAGGCAATAGTGTGGGTTCTCCGTATCGAATATTGTCATCTCTGTCAAATATCTGAATTGGTGGTTCATCGCTTCGTGCTTGGCCTGGCTACGTGATACCGATCTCTCTATGAAATAGCAATGTTGTCCAATAACTGTCCGGTTTTCTGCGAGGCACATGCACTTAAAGGATCTGTTCTAAACGTATTGATATATTCCCTTTCATCGTGAGTATCTGATCTAACACTGACATGCCGTGTACACACCTGCATACGTACTATTCCCCTACGCATGCGTAGAGAGCATCCGATCTAACGCCGTCTCCTATGCACGGGTAATGCTATCCCCCGGGCGTGGAGGGAGGTTACCGCAACGTGGCAGCACTAGTGTTAGTATTAGGGTTAGGGTTAGGGTTAGGGATAGGGATAGGGTTAGTGTTAGGGTTAGGGTTAGGGTTTTTGCATCATGATATCTGTCCCCACACCATAGATTAATTTTTGTGGATCACAGCACCTATATATAGCGCTCCGAGATATATATGTTTAGTGTTAGGGTTAGCGTTGGAGGTGTTGGAGTTAGCGTTACCGGATGAGTAATGATTTTGAAGTATACGTCAACTGTATCACGTGACCCTCCCTCCACGCCCGGGGGATAGCAACACCCCCTATAGCCGGCTTAATGCACGGCTGCGCTACTACGCGGCCCCTGCATAGAGAGCATCCGATCTAACAGCGTCGTCTGCCGCAGGTGCATGTGCTCGCGCAACTACGACAAGTGGCGCGCCTCATGGCAGCTGGGGCGCCGCGCGTCCTCCCTCCGCGCCGCCGGACAACTCCAGGAGGCAGCACCTGTCGCGCTGCGCGGACACCGGCAGGAGGTGGAGTGCATCGCGGCAGATGGCGCCACCGTCGCGAGCGCGTGCCTCGGCGGACAAGTGCGCGTCCTGGGGACTGGCACTCGGGAGACTGCCTCGTCACAATCGATCGGTGAGAGCGCGCGGCGCCCCCTGTCGGCTGCGAGAGTGGTGTTTGTTGGGCGCCCGCACTCCACCGGATCTCGTGTACCAGTAATAGTGAGAGTTTTTTTATTCGCAGCAGGGGACAGCGCNGTTTCCCATCCATCATTGACTTGGCAGCATTCTGTCCAAATATTGCAGACTCAACCCTCACATCATCTAGGCCTGCACTTTCCATTTGCTGACCAATGGCTCGAAGGAAGTTGAAGGTGATATGGAGACCACCAAGCAGGACAACTACGTTGCTGTACTCTTCAGAAGCCCACACGATCTCCTTTGCTTTGGCATAGAGAGGCGGATCGAAGCAAACGATGGTATGGCGCTGTCCAAGGTTTCTGCTGAGCAGGACAAATCGGTTGATGATCGTTGTGATGGTCCCATATTCATTCGCAATAGCATTGAGGATCGGTGCCATTCCCACCGTCGTCAGTGGTAGATCTACAGTACTCACACACTCATTGAATGCTGCCTAGGGAGGAACATCACAGCCATTGCTGGTGTCCATCCTGGAGATTACCCAGACGTGTGTCATTCGTGTTGCTGCCTTCCTACATGGACTACTTTTGAACCACTCATTCGATTCAATGCTAGAAGCATTCGGAATCCTGGGTTCAACTCTTGTGTCAATGGGTAGTTTGGGGGGATCGACATCATGCAACATTTCGACCGTCTCCTTTCTCAAATCCTTCTCTCGTCCATGCACATGCTTAACAGCAGTTCTATGAGAAGGAGGTTCGCGCTGCCAAGCATTCCACTGTGTGCAATGGAATGTACCTTGACCAGCTATTGTCGATTCGTTGACATCTATGTTGTCAGCTGATCCTACGATAAGCCAAGCCTGCAGAAAACAGTACGTGCATACTGTTTATATACCACTTGTATTGATGTGGTTTCAGGTCTGTATTACCCTACGCTTCTTGGCATCTGGGGCATTCTACAATGTCATTGGAGAAGCGATGGGTGTACAAAAAGCAACAGTTTGCAGAGTTTTGGACGCAGTGCTAGACTGCCTTGTAAATGTTGCTAGCGAATGGATCGCATTGCCAACATCACAAGAACAATTGGCAGAGGTAATTAGTACTTACTGTACATACAATTAATACATTTGTCACTTATAAAATTTATATTTTACATAAGAAGTTACACGAATTCATACAGTTAAACAAATGACTTAACCAATTTATATTGCATATTTAACGTATGAGTCACTTTGTGTTTATTTACACTTATAATTATTTTAATATCGCTTTACAAATGTTATTTCAATTCATCAGATCAAGGTTGGATTTTACCAAAAGCGACAGTNTGTGCCTATCCGCCAGCGGTCACCCGAGTGTGAGTCAACCCAGGTTGATGGCTGGAAATAGAGATTCACTGGAGGGTTGAGGTATATGTGATACAGCCATCATGCAGATACTTACCTACTGACAAGCAGTACCACATGTCCACCCCGCCGAGCTCGCGGCATCCGTGAGTCCCACCGGCTATTTTCGTGCCCACCGAAGTAAGCTGCTACCAGCCACGGCCCCCCACCCTCGTAATACCGCCAATCTCACTTATCGCCAGGAAAAACCCAATGTACAAATCGTTTGTATCTATTTGTACGTAATTTAGCCTCGTCATAGGCCTACCGCCAACCGCCAGCATATGTACAATCCTATATAAATGCATTGAAAATACACTCGTTATACCGCCATCGAGAGTGTTGGTCACTATCGGTTGTTCAGTTTCTATGGTAACATACACACAGCACATCCACGCGAGTCCTATGTAATAGCAGTAATATTTAGCGATATAGTAATAGCGGTAGATATTCCGCCTCCATCATCAATTGATGCTCAGAGGTCATCAGTCTGGAATCAGCAGTTTTCTCCACTGGAATATTTTTGTGAGGATGGTAAACCCAGGATTTGAAGCTCTGCTCTGATTTTGTCTGGGCTGCCAGCAAATTTTGTCAGGGTGCTCTAATGGAAAAACCATTACTAACACCCAATTTTTGTCTGGGTGGCAGATTTCTTGTCGGTGTGCTAAATCCCAAAAACCTATTCTTGTCTTGGCGCACCCAGACAAAAATGCTAGTGGAGAATCCTGCATACCCATTTTTTCAACATGAATACATTATACTTACTGTGAATTGCCTGCATGATCTCTGTGTAAATATTTAAGGGCTGCTTGCCCTTCACCCCCGATAGATTCATCGTCATGCTCAGCTGGTGTGTAACAATTTCATGCATCATTCTGTAGACTACAGACTTCAGGTTAACACCGCCCAGTAAGCTCAGATTTCGTACCTGAAAAAAGGAAATGATATTAAATTATGAATAAACTCCAAGAAATAAAGGGACGATGATACAGCAATTTTAATACTTTAAATTGTCTAAAGTCAAAATGTCCTTAGAGCATGGGGATCATGATCATATGTCTTCGGAAGAGGCACGTAGTGGCTCGAGTCTCCGCCTCGATTGCCAGAGGTCCCGGGTTCAAATCCCGCTGTGGAGTGAGGGCAGGTCTCTTTGCCTCACAAGCCCATGTCAGTAACCCCAATTGGCACATAACCGAAGTGGCACACATATCCACTCATAGGGCTTAGGCCTAATGCCAGAGCAAACTAAAAACAAAAACAATGCCCTTCATGTAAGTGCAAAGGTTGGTATTCACGTGCAGCCAATTTTCACTACTTTGCATTTCCAGTGGGACGTCTTCCATTTTGAAATTCGAGCAACCTGTCAAGACAATCGATTTATGGAAGTCTGTATGAATGCAAATTCACTCTGTGTTAACAACTGACAATGGAATAGAATAAAAGTTCACCATTTTTCTTCTGGTGTGATCAGTTTTCAGTTGGCGTCCAGGTGTTGCAAGTCGTCTATTGTATTGCACGGCAAAACGAATATTGGCTCTTCGATGTCTTCAGCTGGCTCGCCTGGTTCACAGAGTTGGCGTTGTTCCAACCGTCTAAGGATTTCACCTTGCTTCTTTTGCTCCTGTTGCATTTCGGCCATTATAGTAAGGAGTTGCTCTGAAATTGTGACAAATGAGTCGAATTTATATTAAATTCAAATAATAGGGATGTGGAGGATGTGGATCAAGTTTCCACAGGTCTGGTGACAACCCGAAGATAGTACTGGCCACAAATTCAGAGTGGAAACTACATATATAGTTCAAGAGAGATTGATGCATTCAAGATAAATCGTTATCCAGGAAACTACTACAGATCCACTGGTCCCCCCCCCACACCACTAACAGAATTATCGAGTGGTTTCCTACAAGTATTAAAAGAGGAAGAAGCTGAAATGGTCTGGTCTCCAAAGGCAAATGACTCCTGAGGACGACAATGCTGGTGCCATGGTCACCATGGTGAGAGCAAAATACTGCAACTTACCTAATGTTGCCTGGTTCAATGAAGATGTGATGTTTGGTGGAGTAGATAAAGCGCACCTAGTCTCCGTATTCCTGCTAATACTACTATGAGCACCTGAAAAAACAACGGAAAATCAATCATTTGGCATTCGACTCTAGCAGGTATAGTTGCAGAGCTGCCAGATTTGAATCTCGCCATAGCATGAGGTTCTGGCTCATGCCCATGCCAGAATCACCAACAACCCCAAATTGGCATGATTCGTGCATGATCAAAGTGGCACGTACATATGCTCACATAGGGCCTAATGTCAGAGCGAATACCAAAGAATTTAAAAACCTCCCACCAACTCATTCCAACTGATTGATATGACAATATGTTGCTTAATTTGAAATATAGTGCACAATGACACGTGTTATACATACCAGTTGGTCTCAGTGGACTTCTCAAGTCTTTATCTGCCATGGCACAACTCTTGGACTTCTTTGCTGAAAGAAAGGTATGGCAAGTTTAAATCATAGGATTAAGATCATATGTCATAGGTCTGGGCTCCAGTTCAGCCCAAAATGGACAGGAGCCAAAAGCAGTCTAACACTGAAAAATTGTAGCCATTGATTGGTTTGAACCAAAATAAGGAGCCAAAAGTTTTGCACAGTACATGTACTCACCAGAAATGATCATTCCACTCCTTGGAACTGGTGGTGGAACAGGCAAACCGATTTTATGCTGAGGGGGTGAACGGATCTGCGGATTGGTCTGGTCAGCCGCTTCATTAACGTTGTCCATCATCCACATATCTGGCATGTCTTCGTCCGGGTCGGAAATAATGTAGATTAAAATTTTAGAATTAAAAAAGATGTAATAACTTAATAACCATTAATAACAATTTAATAAACTGTTAACTAGTTAATTAACTAGTTGTACGTACAGCATACTCACGTTCTTTTGTAATGTTTCTCAGTTCGTTTATTAGTTCGTCATGTCTTCTATTTCTGTCAAAATTAATGGTTTTGAAATTATGCTTAACTTTAGATTTAAACTGTTATATGTTATAAACAGTTTACAAACTTAGTGTCATGGAGATGGACAGTATAATTAATTAAAATAATTTGTTTTCCATCGTAATCAATTGTAACATTGATGTTAATAATAACTTAAGTTTGTCATTCAATGCACAAACGTTTGTCAGCATTTATAATATTCAATAATGAAAATTGCAACTGCTGCCACTAATTATCACACACCTCTCTATCTGCTCTTGCCTTTTTAATTCAAGGTATTCTTTTTCAAATGAGCCTGCAAGTTAAATTTTATTGCATTTAATTGCATTAAAATGCACTAAAGTTCATTGCATACAAAAACTATACTAGGGATTGAAATTCATATTATGTTTATATTATCTGTAAATGAACCTAATACTAAATATAACATGTTTATTTACTTTCTGTTGACTTTCTCGCTCTTTTGCGAAGAGGTGATGATGGTCCTGGTGGAGCCACAATCGCCAGTTCTAGAACAGCTACTCCAGTAGCATCAGCTGTACTTGTCCCTAGCAGATTTAATATTGACATTGTAAAATTCAGATAAACAGTTGGAAATACATTTGATACATCAATTTTAGTATATAACAATACATACGAAGCATTACCTGTTATCTCAACTCCCTCCGCGACTCCATAAATTATTTCAGGAGGTATGTAACTTTCAATGACCTGGCTCTCAATGTTTGAGAATTCGATCACTGAGGGTTGTCCCCCTCCTGTTAAATCAGAAAAACTAGTGTAAATGATTTTAGATAGTGTTCATGTATGCCACATCTGATATCGATTGATGAATACAGGAACGCATTAATGGAGGTGTCTAGCCTTAACATTGCAACTTTGACTTTGAGATGCACCAAAATCAGTAACTGTTCGTGTTTACATGGCTTTACTTTACTCATGTGGGTGGGGGACGGGGGCTTCATAATGTTGCCTGCGCACCTGTGCGTTGCGCCTCTGTCGCGTTATGCCTTTCTTTTTTCCTCAGCTCTGAGGTATAGTTTGTCCACTTGATTTTGCACTGTAAAAATGTATTATGTAAAGGTTTGCACGTTTTGCATAAATTTCTTTAATTATAATTGATATAAAAAATACACAATGTTCACATACCATTTGCCATGTTATATATTATATATATATATAATATTAGCAATAGAAATTTGTTTACTTCGGAAGGATGCCTGTCCATCATGCCAATCGCATTGACACGGTCTGCGATTTCTCGCCAGTTCTCATTTTTCCGGTTGACGGTCAAATTATTGGACAGGCGACTACGCACCACATCCTGCCTCTCCAGGCAGGCCTCGGCGAAAACCTCAATCTATTCTTTTTGCCAGTTCGGTCGTCTCTATTCAATATATATATCAGTATACGTATATTCAGTTATTCTCAATACATAATATTTTATTGGTGCCATCACGAAACAGTACTACAGTATCAGATTATAAGTTGCAACACTCCAACAGTCTACACAGGATTATGTGTAGGCAAATCGTGACAAATCGCTTGATTAATTTATGGGCTATACTGAAAACCGTATGAGAGACAAAGTTGATCAAATGGATAGATAACTCCGTAACATATATACAACATAATATGTTATGTAACATTCAGCGATTGTCTAGTAGTAGACTAATACGTACTAGTAATAACATATTATTTAAAAAAGTGCCAGTAAAATAGTAGTACTAATTCAATACCTTAGCTTCTGCCGACGCCAGCGGTCTTTCAATCTCAATTTCCATTGCAAATGCTATTTAATTATTGTTTTATTGCACTGTTTGCACTGAGCGGTAGCGATACTGAAACGTACGTACGAATGTTCGTGTTCGTATTAGTTCGTATGCCATGCGCGAACAGCTGATCGGCTGCAAATGTAAACAACTTGTCTGCGTTCCCGAAATGCACTGCAGGATTTCGAACAACCTTGAATTGCCATAGCTATTAGCATGCCAAAAAATCCTCTGATTTCTGTAACAGATAGAGCTGTCCAATTTCTCAATTGCTTTTGTGCTGCATAGCGATTTGTTTCCAGAAGGATGACATTCAATAAATCTTCGGAAAACAGTTTTCCAAAATACATGATCGGCTCGGCTATTTCATCACCTGGCAAGTCAAATGTTGGCCCCAGTTCATCACTTGTATAGATTGGTGGGTTTATTTGTAGGCCACCAGTGTCTAGATTAGACCAATTGTTTTTATACTTTGTTGGAGCATACACCCGGCTAGATGCAGCAGGCTGTTGAGTTCGTCGTCGACCACGACCACGGCCACGGTTCGGTGCTGATGATGTGGATGCCACAGGTTCATCATTAACGATCGTCCCAGTCCCTACCTGACTCTGAATCGGGGTTGGCGAATTCATTTACAGGGATTTCACTATGAGAATCTGAGTCTAATTCACCCTCACTAACATATTCTGTATCACTTTCACTTTTACTTGGAATATCTGACAACAATATTTTCAGCTGTCAAAGTCAGCTGAAAAAACAAAACATTGATTACGTCATAATTTTGTCTAACTAATTTTACAAATTATTTGAAATCAATACACCATGTATTGCCGTAGTTTAATAAAATACGTATTTGCGGGTATTTGCAAAAGACGAAACAAGGCATAGGGTGTCTGTAAGCCAAGCTATGATGAAATAAAGATCGTGACGTCAGACCGCTTCATTTGTTTGGGCACCAAAGGGTTAAGCTTAGCTAACTATTTACTGTGTCTAGTGCTAAAAAGTGCTTAAAAGTGCAGGTTATTTTACACATTATTTTTTAGCTCACCTTGGCATCGTCAAGATGAGCTATTGCCATGGGGCGTCGTCCATCGTACGTCTCTCCGTCCGTCCGTCAACATTTGGCTACGGTCAACGATAACTAGACAACCGTTTGACCCACGTTTCAAATTGCATACTGTTGTTACTCCTATGGGAGAGATTTGAACGTCCTGTTTTGGAGCACGCCAGTTGACCTACTTTTGAGCCACACCCACTTTTTGGCAAACATTTAAATGGCCATAAGTCAGTTCAGGTTCAACGGATTTTGCTCATTTTTGGTACAGTGAATGAATAATGACTGGCCCCAAAATATATCACAGGTTTTGATATTTAAAAAAAATTATGCAAATGAGGTAGATTTTGGCAATTTTACTATGCATTTCAGTGTATGGAAAGCCATCCCCTTCAAAAATCATTTTCAAACATTTCAAATATACAATTTTAAATCAATTTAAAACGTTTAAATTAATTAATAAAACTACAAATTACTTTATATTGTTCGAGAAATTTAAATCAATTTACAGAATAACAAATCAATTCATTAAATTGCAAAATAATTCACAACTTTCCAAAATAATTGCCTGACATAAAAATTCATTCACATCATTGTAAAAACATTTTCTAAATGTACAATTTATTTTCAAAACAACGAACCATTTGACTAACTTGCAATTTAATTGAGAACATGTTACATAAACTCACAAACGTTCAAATCTTGTTTCATCACCCTAACATTTGAAATTATAAGTTTTAAATTAATTTACAGAATAACGAATCAGTTCACTAAGTTTTAAATTAATTTATTACTTTTAACATTAATCACCAGCAATACGAATCTATCTTTTGGTTTCAGAATTATTAGGTTACAAACGACAAATGTATAGCTTCAATTCCAAATTAATCATACAGTTTTCAAAACATATATAAACGTTTACAATAAAAGAGCTAATTTAACAATCAATTTATGCAACTTCGAATCTAGTCAAGACCTTTGAAATAACTTACTAACGTTCTTCAGAGTGCATCGATTGCAAATGTCTTGGTAGTTTTGCTTGTGGCTTTCCACAAAAATGACAAAAATGTTTTTTGTCCCACTTTCTATTTAGACCATCATTATTTGTGCACATTACGTCAATTTCATTTGCTACACGTGCATCCTTATCTTTATTGCTTCTGTGATGCACACCATTTAGAGAAGGCAGCTCACTTGGGAATGTAGATTCTTCTGATAAATCGGAGTCGGACACATAATCCTCATTCTTTCTTGAGAAACTTATTGTATTGGATGTACTGTATTTCATTTTTTTCAACTTGCTCTCCGAACATTGTAAGGATATGGCTTCTGATATATCTGAACCAGATTCTGCTGAATCATCAAGGTCGTCCTTATCTGGCATATATGCACTTCCTGAAGACACTTCATGGTCAGTAGCATTCTCAGCTGAAGACCTACAGCCAAGCTGGACTAATTTCACCTCCTGTGTGGTGTCCTGAGTTGAAGAAGCACTGCCAGACCTAGGTTCACTACCAAGCTGGACTAATTTCACCTCATCCTGTGTGGTGTCCTGAGTTGGAGAAGCATTGCCAGACCTAGGTTCACTACCAAGCTGGGGTGAGTCTACCTCCTCATGTGTGGTGTCCTGAGTTGGAGAAGCACTGCCAGACCTAGGTTCACTACCAAGCTGGGGTGAGTCTACCTCCT